GCACAAATCATCCTTTATCAGATCACGCAAGGTCTTGGGCAATATTAGTCTAGAACAACGAGCAGAGCGGCATTAAAACACTTACATGCTTCTCACAGTACTCCATCTGGATGTAGAGTGTGGTTAAAATAGGCCTGGCATAAGAACCAGATCTCGCTCGGCTGAGCTCAACTTCCTCCGCACTTGCGGAATCAACGCCAGAATCATGTACCCTGTTCCTCTCTGGCGTCTCTGGGTGAGCTGGGTCGGATAAAGTTCCTTCGTTTTCGTCATCGCTGTCTGATGCGGCAAACTCTATTTTTGGATACCCGCTAGAGCTGATGAAATCGAGACCTCCTGTGCTGAATCCGTGGTGATCCTGGCTAGCAAACGGGTCACCTTCGGTAGAGGACATAGCCTCTTCCTCAATGTGATTGAAGTCCTCTTCAAGCCAAGCAGTGTAATATCGGACAACATAGGAATGGTTCAGTCGGGAGAGCAACATGGTTTCGGAAAGCGTGTCTTTCAACGCTGCGGCGGATGTTTGAGAGATCTTCTTTATTGCATACAACCGACCATCGAGCTTGTTCCGGGCTTTGACTACCTGTCCAAATCCACCACGGCCTAGCTGACCTGCTTCGTCAAAGTCTTGGTGGTATCGTGAGAAAGCCGGTATGGCCCCAAAAGAGTCTAGGCGTGGCCGTCTCTGCAAGGACACAGATCCCGACGCTCTTTCTCGCATCTTTAACGGCGCATCCACCCGGAAGAACTCAGAGGGCTGGAGTTGGAAAGCAGTCGGACGCTTCCTAGGATCTGGGCGGAAGAATTCACAGAGCAAATCTTGCAGGGGGGGCGAGAGCCCCATAGATACCATCAACTGGTTAGCGGAGGTATACCTAAGGAGAACATCCTTTCCAAAGCCCATCTGAAGCAGCACAATTCCAAGATCCCAAACATCGGTCTTCATGGAGGGAGCAGAACTGTCCTGTGTCAGCTCTGGGGGTACCCAAAGTGGTGACTTTGACGCCGCGAAAGAGGACTTTCCACAGGGAGAATCTGGCAAAGCTTCTTCGACATTAGACTGGAGTTTAACGATAGTTTCACCAGAAGTAGTCCTGAACAAAAAGATTCTGCCACAGTGAATGTTCCCATGCACAAAACCGCTGCGGTGGTAGAACTCCAGAGCCTCGAGTAACTGAATCATCCAGCCGCGAAGCATGTCAACAGCTACGGTCCCCACGATATCCAGGAGCTCGGCAAGAGAACCCTTGTTTGCATACTCCAAAAGCGCAAAGACGGTCCAAGAATTGTCGGGTGAATCGAGGTGGCTAATTGGGCGATTGATTTTGAACCCCACGAATTCAACAAGATTAGGGTGTCGCAATCGCTTGATGCCCTCTAACTTATCCTCACTAGTACGCATCTGCTCGCGGAATGTCAATCCTTCGGAATTATGCTCGTCGAGACAAAATTCCTTTAAGACAAGCAGCGGGACGTGGCATCGGTTCTCAGACACAACAGGCCTGACGGTAAAGGTCTTTTTGCACTGTTTACTTTGCAGCAGGGTCTTGCCATGAACGGCACGGAAAACCAGCGGCTGCTCATCAGTGTCGTTGACAGCCAACGGAGGATCAAAGCAGATGGCGCCGGGTGTATTTTCCACAAGGTCATCAGCATAACTCATATCCGCACCGCCAGTTCGACTCTTTCGTCTCAAAATGCGAGCCTTGTTCCGCTGTCGCATCTTATCTTGAAGCATTTCTTGTAATGCGCGCTCTTCCTCAACAGCTGCAGCCTTTTGCTTGCGAAGTTCCTCTTGTTTTTCTAGGTCTGCGCGTTGAAGAGCAGCCGCTTCTTGCTCCATGCGCTCCTCTTCAAGGCTGGGTAGGTCTTTGTCCTGTGCCTGTGCCTGAGCAACATCCTCCAGAACATCCTGGATGGACACTGCCAGCTCGTATATCATCTCACTTCCGAGTAAAGATTTTGGCTTATTGCATAGAATTTCTTGGATCCGGGAACGCGCTCCATCGCGAAAGCCGTCGAGGTTTCCAGGTGAGAGATTGGGGACTGTTTTAGGATATGTAGCTGGCAGTTCGACCAGTAAAATGAGGAGTACGTCTGGATTCGAGGAGGATCGCAAATGGAGTTTGAATGTCACATCGGAGGATTGCTAGAGTGCACGGGTTAGTGGCCACGAGGGGTCCAAAATAGCTCGAAGACTGCACCCACCTGCCAGGCCGACCGCCTATTTTCTACTTCTTCAAAGTCATCACCATAGATTGAACGCAGAGCTTCCACCTCTGTCTGGTGGATTTCTCGGTAATTGGTTGTAAATATGGGGGACGTCACGGAGGAATCGGAGGATCGATTTTTCTGGCGGGAGGGCTTCTTCCTCTGTTTGGGAGACATCGCGGGGCGTGGCGAGAGCTCGCCCTACATGCGACCCTGAGCGTCGTACGACATGGGGGCTGGCGATAAAAGATAAAAGGGTTATGGGAGGTGGAAAGAGAATTGGGCAGTCTTTTTTTTTTTCCCTTCCCCTCTGAGGCTAGAACAAACAGGCGGTCAGATCATACGCCCTTCCATTTATAGAGTGGAGATTTTTAGTATAAATGACGTCCCCGTTGGTTTAACTATGGGTTTAAGGATTTACTATTTATATTGTACTGTAATTCGATTGAATGTCATGATTCTTCCATGCTGTGTTTACTTCGAACCCCTTCACGAGATATCCCGTGTGTCTATTGACTTGAGATAGAGTGTATCATCATCGTCAAGCCAAAGCACCATTGTCCCTGCCCAATAGTGGACCCAGATATCATGAGGTGGTGAGCTGGTGAGCTGGCATATGTCGCGAAGGGTGGCAATTGTTGTCACCGCAATAGTCGATCATTTCTGCTCGTGTCGTCTTTGTTCCAGATGTGACCGTCACACACGATCGAAGACACCGAGCAACAAGCTACCAGCCACAGCAATCATTGGTGCGTATCCCCAGTGATTCCACTGCCCTTGGCCATGGGTCCAACAAACATACCCATCTGCAAATGCAACGCTGCTAGCGGCAATCAAGATCCAGCCTAGAGTTGAACGGGTGCCGAAATACGAAGCCGCATATATGGCAGCCCCCATGAAGATGTCCCGGATTCCATAGATTGCCATTAGACTTTCAACCATTTGCTTGTCTACTAAAGAGGTAGGTGGCTGAAACTCGAAGAAAGTGAGAGCATGGTCTGGACGTAGGATAGCGTTGACGCCGAATCCGACAAATGTGGTTGCAAAGACGCTAGCAGCCAAACGGAGAACGACCGAATGGGAAAGAGGCATCATGCTGTGCCAAGCCAGGCTTATGTCTGATGTTTGCGTAGTATCTGTAGTGGCTTGAAGGTTTCAAGGATTTGAGCGCCGTAAGGGACCCCACAGTAATCTTCGAAGTTTCACGATAAAGACAAGAATTCAGGAGGTTCTTATACGAGACTAGAAAGCAAATTTGTAAGAATCCTCTGAGGGCAGTCGGAATACCGATAATTGATCTAGACAGCCAGGCTAGGAGGTAGTTGTGGACTCCAGGGCTGATTGATATGTCAACCCCGGGGTATGTCCTTTTGTACACGCACGTGTGTACTCCGTACACATACACCTACTATGGAGAAATCAACAAGGCCATTATAGTAACCAAGTCCAATACATTCCATCTCAAATGAAAAGAAAAAGAAAAAGAAAGCCTTCCAAATCCCAAAATTAAAAAGTCGCAAAGAAAGTGCCAAGATTGTAAATAAAAGACAAGGCCGGATGAGAGAGAAAACGATGAGATGACTCAGCGAGGAATTGTCAGGAGGATAGTGAGGCAGGGCGCAGGTTACCGCCCTAAGGCGGTCACTGCCTCTGCCGGACGGAGAATACCTTCCTGTCCAGTGTATTTGTAGTTCCTTTTCTAGTTTTAGGAATAGTACCACCTCCCATTGATCAACCTGTCCATCGGATAGATCGCCTGTTCTATGAAATCCGAAGGATTTGCCACTCTCCTGTAGCATTGAGAAACCCCCCTGCGTCTATAACCCAGTAAGTCTACAGGAGGAGTCGGCCACGGGGAGTGTGGGCCAGATTTCCGGTCGATCAGAATCTGGTAGTTCTAGAGGGGGGCTTCTAACGCTGGCAGAGGCGTCCCTTTAAAATTCTTAATTTCTTCCCTTTAACAGCGGTAAAAAGCAGATAGCTAGAGAGCGTTTGATTCGTTCGACGAGCCCTTTAAAACAGCCCTTAGACTCTAGAGCAGTGTGGTATCTTGCTACCCCGCACAGATTACGACTAGACAGTGCCTTCCTTACTGACGCTGACCATTTAGCCACTATCAGATAGGAATTAGAAGGAGCAGTTATCACAGACGTACCTCCCCTAAATTGTTTGGGAGCTGATTCAGTATAGCCCGAGCTTAAATTAATTTTCCTCCCGATTACTTTCGAACCGTTAAGAGACGAAAGTGACAACGATATACCGTCCTCCTTTAGAGTTAAACCCTTCTGCGGGCTCTAAGACGGACACGACCTATAGACTTTATCGAGGATATCGAAACCTCAGTTAAGAGAGATTATGTATATAAGACAGTAGCTCTGAGAGAGTCATATATATCTGTTATTTATACCATACATTGCTGTATACGAGATTTCTGTTATTAAAAAACCAGGCAGAAATAAGGCGGTGTCAATATATAAACTAGGGATAAACTAGTAAAGGAAGAGGTAAGGGTAATGTTTTGATGGGTATTAAAATTTTGGAGCTTAGTTCACCAAGAGTCACGTAATACCCGGTGAACTGAGCACTGAGTTCATCAATGAACCGAGCTGTCTTCTGGTCTAAAGATCTGCTTCAACTCCAGGCGACTTTTGAGTACCGACACAGGGGGATTCTTAGTGTCAGCCAGGTAATTGTTCTTTGGCTATCAGATTGTTGTCCGCCATCCACAGGATTCCGCCCCACCCCCATACCCTTAAGTTTCTTCTACTCCACTCCTTCGGACCGATCTCATGCCCGACACCATGGTACGTCACTTGTTTTCTCTACAATAATTGATCTGCTTTACTACCTAGGTAATCCGCTACCAGAGTGCTTCCGCCCAGACCCCACCACTTCTACCCGCCCCTGAGCCCACTCCGGGTCGAGTCCTCCGGGATGGCTCGTCTGCTGGCCCCCAGTCCAGCAATAACCCTGTCCGCTTAGCCACAATCCGGTCGGTTGAACGCAAACCGAACATTGATGAACCGGGCCTTCGGGCTAAAGTTGCCTTCATGACCAGCATCCAACTCTCGAGGAAGAGACAATGGTTCGGTCGCTGCACCCTGCTCTGAAGCATTGCGATTGTGTTTCAGTAGTTGAGGGTGGTCCGGTGAGGAAACCAGTGTGGCTAGTCAATGCCCGCGGCGCCCAGAATATCAACAACACACACGCCGCTGGCAGGGAAATACATGTCCTGCCGGCACAAACTCTACCACCCGTTTCACCCTTGGGTTTGTTAATGCGTCCTGTCAATATCGAGCGTATCAACCCCCGGTCTTTTCTCGAACCCCAGAAAGTCACCTTAATTCGCGAAGCCTTCCCAGGTTCCATCGGAGCACAAATACTCATCACTGGTTGGCTATTGATTTTGTTTCCGGAGAAGAAGTCGCTAAAGACATGCTGGGATAAGGGTGTCACGGATGAGGTCGGTGGTTTACGGGTCGGATATATCATAGCATCATTCCATGCGACAGCTAATATCGTCGAGTCCGGTCGAGCGGTTAGCAGTGCGCCAGGAACCCTTGCCCAGCAGGCGGCACTCGGCCTACGATTACGGCTCCCAGGTGGCCAAGAGGCAATCACAACAGTGACGCATGCGTTTGTCCGTCTTGCCGATTCCAGAATGTCAAGAATAAGGAAACGTTTCACAGAGTATATCTTGACGGCGAAAGATTACCTTAAGCGGATACAACCACCGCCGCGGCAGGTACCACAGGCTAATGATATGTATTGTCGGGGGCGACGATGACTCCATGGGGGATCTCTGAGGGAGAGAGAAAACGATAAGAGGACTCAGCGAGGAATTGTCAGGAGGATAGTGATGCAGGGCGTAGGTTACCGCCCTAAGGCGGTGACTACCTCTGCCAGACCAGGAATACCTTCCCGTCGATTGTATTTGTATTTTATTCTTAGTCTTGAGGAATCCAAGATCACCTTCCCATTCGTTTCTTTTCTTTGATCCATCGGACAGATCATCAATTCTGTATAGTCCGAAGGATTTGCCATCCTCGTGTAGTATCGAGAAATCTCCCTGCACCGCGTTCACCAGAGAGTCTACAGGAGGAATCGGCCACGGCTTGGGCGTGGGTCATTCCGGTCTGTCAACTGCATCTGCCGGACAGGGAATATTACCCGTCCTATGTATTTGTATTTTATTCTTAGTTGAGGAATCCATCACTTTCCCATTGTTTTTTTCTATCTATCGGAAAGATCATCAATTCTGTGTAGTCCGAGGGACTGGCCACCTTCGTGTAGCACCGAGAAACCTCCCTGCACCGCTTCCATCAGAGAGTCTACAGTCGGCCACGAAGAACGTGGGTCGGATTCTGGTCTGTCACCGGACACGAGCTTATCGATAAAGTGATCGGCGCTTCTGCTTTTTCCGACCGCGCGGACCATAAACACTGGACTTCAACTTGGCTGCACGGATTTCGTTTCTTCCAACCCTGGCAGTCAAAATGCTGGACTGGATCAAGGGGAACGAGCAAATTGCACAGGCTACAGGTGTGGTGATTATTTTGACCTTTAAAGCTCCCCTGTCTAACCTGATGCTACAGATGACTCCAAGTTGCTAGAACCCCCTGAGACCCCAGGCCATGTCTTTGCGATTCGTGCTTTCAAGAGCGCTTTGTTTGGCACTCCGGGAGCAGAGGAAGATGAAAACAACGCGTCCCAGAAAGAATCCGGTCACCAACGAAGCAAGAGTGACACGATCAAACTAGCGTCAACAGAGATCAAGACCGACGCGAAACCAGCCGACGCGACTTACAATCCTACGGGATCCCCCACGAAAAGCATACTTGTTACACCTGGAACTGCATTGCGTCGTAAGACGGTATCCTTTGGCGAAAGTGTTATCGACAATGAGGGGAAACGCCCTGGCTCGGCTAGTAAGCCAGCCAAGACTCCGCCAAATCCGTCCGGAACCCTCAGTACTCAGTGGATGTCCGGATCGTCCGATGGAAGTGGCAAGCCGAGGAGCAAACTCACCCAGACACTCATGAATGCACGCGATAACGCATCCAAGAACTCCGAACCGGCCAAGTCTGATGAGAGCACAGGAGAAGCGAAATCGGTCATAATCCCTGGGTCAAAGGATACCCTCGAAAATGAAGATATCACTGTTAATCTGGAGGACCCTCACTCAGAGTCAGGCAAGTACTGGAAGACCGAATTCGACAATTACCGTGTGAGGACCAACCGAGAGATCAAGAAATTGATCCATTACCGGTCGATTGCCAAATCCTACGCTCGGAAGAAGGACACTGAAGCTATGCGGCTGGCCGACAAGCTGAAGGAAGAAGAAGAAAAGGTCGCCGAGATGGAAAGGCAGGTGTCACGGCTTGCTTCTTCGATGGTCGAGAAGGGATCCACAGGCGATAAGGAGCAGTTGCTTCAAGGTTTGACAAAACAAACCGCTCTTGCATTACAATACAAGCAGCAAGTTTCCTCGCTGCGCAACACCTTAGAACGGCATGATGTCGTAAGCGATGCGGCAAATATCTCACAGAAGAAAAAGGAAGAACTGCCTCCAAACGCCCCAACGGACGAGCTTCGCAAAACACAACAAGAATTGGAACAGGCCAATGCCAAGATTGAGGAGATGAAAGCACAGCAGTCCGAACTGAGCACACTTCAAGACCTTGCGCAGAGCTCAGAAAAGAAAGCCCAAGCACTCGAGAAAGAGAACAATACTCTGAAACAAACGCTGGCCCGAGTGAAACAGGAAATGTCTCGATATGAAGGCCGGCGAAAGGACAAGGAGACAAGGCTGAAGCAGCGAGAGGCCAGACTAGAGCAGCGGATCCAAGAATACAGAGAAAAGCTCAAAACAGTCTCCCAAGAGCACCGTACCTCGGAGGAGAACTTGAGAAATACTTCCGATGCAGAGCGCCGCCACATGCAGAAACAGATCGACCTTCTGAAGCTGCGACTTGGTTCTACTGAACGCTTCCCGGCGCTACCTTCCACAGAGCGGCAATTCCTAAGTCCTCGCAAAGACCACACGGGCGTGGAGGTATTTGACTTTGCCGGCCAGGATTTTACCGGTCAGGATCTTGAGAAACCTGAAGAAGAACCTACCGAAGATATCGAGCTTCCCCCAAGCCCGAGTCCGCGCTCCAAAGTACGCGATTCGCGACCTGCTTTGCGTAGTGCCACGTTGGGTACACTTCGCACGAGGCCGAGTGCCCGAAATATGGCCGCAGACGACGACGAGGTCACACATTACCTAAACGAAATTCTACTGAAGCCGCGGCACGAATCTAATAATGCTGTGTTGGATGAAATTCCCCCGTCCTCGCCTCCCGACATCTCAGCCCTAAAGTCGCTGAATCGCACATTCTCAAGACGCCGACTCGGTGAAGGCCAGCGGTCCTATCGGAATCTGAACCTCCCTACTGACGATGACACTCGGCTGAGCAACCGACAAACACAACGTGAACGAACCCACATCAAATCTACCCTCGATTCGATTTCAGGCCTTCCATCCCGTAGCCGGTATTCAGGGTACACCGTTTCAGCAGGCGAACGCGTGGCCAAGCGGTACGGGTTGGCCGATCTCCAGCGTGAAGCTCTCTCTCCTGAACGAATTGCCGCTGCCAAGTCACGGCTCAGACAGAAGGACAGTCGCAAAATCAAAGCACTTGGAAAGGAGAATGCTTGAAGTCTTCAGTCACGTTAGCTGGCTTGTTTGGATTCGCTTTCTGATTTGGAAATAAGGAGTGACTTTTGAAGCATAACAGGATGGTGTTCGGGTTCATAAGCGTTACTCATTTTCATTCTTGCTATCTACATTTTCAGCGAAGAACAATTGTCAAATTATTACTCAATCAGTGACTCTTCTCTAGTCAATTGTTCAGGGCCGTATCCACTGCTCCCAACCTTTCCAGGCCAATCGCTGGAGCAGTGGTGTCTCTTATAGCAAGCCTCTTCGCTTCTCTCGTTGTTCGAGAAAGCTTGGTACATGGTTATCGCACCGTATCTCAACGTTTTTAATTAGATCCGACATCGTGGTTTAGTGTAAAATGTGTACATAGTCTGAGTCTGAGGATCCGCTGAACCCCCAGACTTCGGAGGTAGAAGTGTGTTGGCCTCTTTTTGGCTCAAAGAATGTACATTCCGTAGATGTATACGCACTGAAGTTGGCGTGGTGAACCATTTGTCGCACGTGTCTACTGGACATTGGATATCGGGATTGACACGGCTGGAGTGTGTAATGCCAAAGCTCTCGAGATTGAGTACTTGAGTCATATGCATGTCATCGACGAAGCATTTGTTGAACTCTTCTCCACTGAATTGGAGAATCTTTTGTACGGGGCCACCAGTGACGGCGTTTGTCACTCGTGGGTATTGGTGTACCTCGTGATTTTCGTCTTTGGAACCCTCTGTCTCTGTGTCGCTGTCTAAATCCATGTATTCAGCTAGAATCAACGAAGATAACGGGAGAGCAGAGTCAATGCTTTCTTTATTCGAGAGACATAAAAGCGAAAGCGAGATTTTGAATAGGTCACAAGATGATATGTCCGACATCAGCGGCGAGGATTCAATTGCGGATGAAAGCATCCTGAGTCCGGGCTCGCTGGCCGATGCCAGATGGAGAGGCGTCAGGTAGATGTTGATAGGGAATTGAGGCGTAGCAACAACGGACTCGGCATCCGTGGCCTCCAACGGAGATACCAAATCAAGAGGCATCGGGTAGATGTTGTCAGGGGATCGAGGTGGAGGAGCAATGGACTGAGCATCGTGGGTTCGTGACAGAGGATGTAGATCTGCTATGTAAATAGGAGATACTGGAAAATCTGTAGATGCGCGGAGGAGGGAACTACCTATATATAGATGCTAACTAGACTAAAGTAGTAGGAGGAAACAGGGAAGTCATATGACTTCTGACACCTTCCACACATAGTACAATCTATAGTTTAACATTAAATAAGCTCTCACGCTAATTTAGGTAAATTAGACTTATCGCTTTAGAAGCAGGCATTAACGGCCTATAGGGTTCATCATATCATATCACACCTTGATTCACAATATAGATTACGTATTAGCTCATCTACTTCCAGCTGTGATCTTTTACTACTCTAGTTTATCTACAAATGTTCCATATCGGCATATTCACCCAGTGTGCAACAGAATCTAAAGTCTACCATAGAACACCTTCAGTCGTGCCTATTGCGCACTCAGGCCTTGCCGTCAGAAAGCGACACGACAGCCCATTTCCCGCCCCAGGCCCACTTGCGAGACTCAGAGCCGCCGCCTCCAGGCAGTGCACGGAGCTTCTCGTCCTCGCCAGCCGGGAGACCAACAACAGGATCAGCCTTGCAGGTACGGAAGGCTAGAACACGGATCCCGGACTTGGGGCCAAGCGGGCCAATGGCTTCTGTGAAAGGAGTGGTGGGATCCCATTGGGCCTAGATATTGTTAGTCAGAACCCTAGAGCACAATAAAGAAAAGCAAGGAACGCCGGACTTACATCATTGACCAACTTCCGATAGTTTAAGTCGCCCTTAAACAGAACAAGCTCGCTCTCCTTCAAATCTTCGAACAACTCCGGTGCCACAGATGGCATGCGCCAGTAACCGCCCGGGGTGGTCCAGAAAGCGTGAGGGCGCAGGATCAGCTTGCCATCCTGGTGGAACTGGCTCCACTGCTCCAAGAGGAATTGCACGTTGGAGACTTCATTCTCGGAAAGAGGAGGGAATGTCTTGCCCGAGTCATCGGCTGCTGTGTAAAAGGCCTGGGGGTCGACCATACTGTTGAGCAGATCGGAGAAATCCTTCGGTGTGACATCTGACACGAACCACGGCATGCGCTTGGGGTGGAGCACGACGCTGGTCGCCAGCCCGGCGGACAGCAAGTATCCAGCGAGGATTAGGTCAACGAATAACTCAAATCCGGAGTTGTCTAGGACGATGTCGACGCGACGCTCGCCATCCTTCTTTTCTCCCCGCGCCTTTTGCATTGCTTCGAAAGCAGCATCGAGGTCGTTGACAATGATATTCTTCTGCGATGCTTTGCGCGCCTCAGAGCCCTGTAGTTTCTGGATATCCTCATACGTAAGAGATGTCAGAAGGGACAGATCGGTGGCATTACCCCATAAGCAGATCTCGCACATCTCCGAGAAGAGAAGTTTCTCTGCCTGCTCGATCTCCTCTGCCGACTTGTTTTCTCTTGCTTTTCCTGACTCTGCCTCTATCGCTAATTCACGGTATCTCGCAGCGAGTTCTAGTACGGCGGGACGGGACGACTTAAATGTATCCATCTTCTGGCGGGCGAAAACGTCATAGCCCTTCCAATGCTTGGACAGCGCAAAGAGGGCTTCCATGCGGCGATCTATTATGGTTGTCGAGTCAGTATTGCCGTAATTTATCTTGCTTCCTGTGGACTTGGGCTTGGGGCTTACAGAGGTAGCACTCTGAATACAGCCACGCCACATCGTGCCAGTGAGGGTTTCCGCGCTCCTCGAGTTCCTTGTTATACGAGGCAATATCGGGGTGTCCGTCGTCATCCAGGGGACTAGCCGCAATTTATATGTTAGGTTGAGCTCTTGTAAGCCCGGTATAGAGGATGCAAGAACTCACGTCAGTTGTCGGTTATGCTGAAGCTCATACTTCAACTTGGCCAAGTTGGCAATAATGCTCTTGCCTTCATTTGCCTTCTCGTTGTCATTGACACCTACAACAGTGCGGTGAAGGTCATCGATAGCGCCAGTCTAGAGTCGTCACACATATTCAGCAATGGGTCCCCTGACTATCGATTGTCTGCCGCAAGCTCACGATGATGACAGGCCACCGCTCGTTAGCCGAGATCGAGGCGAAGCTCGACTGATCGGAGGTGAGATATTGGGCTGCTCGGGTTAGTCCGCCATATTATATGATAGGGCAAGAATACTTACGGGTCTTAGGATCGAATTCCATGACTGCTATGCAAGATGTGTCTAGACCGAGGGCAAAAAGAAGTCAAAGTGGCAGAATCGAGGGGACAGCGCGGGGCAAAAGCGGTGTGAAGTATACAGTTGGCGACGTCAGAGCTACTCGGAATACATGGATCATTCATGCACATAGATACATTTGGAACATCAATTCTAGGTAGATCTCTTAGGCAACGCCGCGCTTGAAAATCAAATATGCCATCACATTCCCGAAAGAATAGAGTTATTTGCGTATGCCTGGGACAATTAGCTGAGGGAACGTGATTATGTAGATGTTGGAAGGTCCTCACCATCGGCTTGATATCAGGGTGTGGCACTGCCTCGAAGACTTCATATGCAAGCTTGAGTTCGGGTCCGATGTTGATGTAGGCACCCTTATTTTCAGTCGCATCGCAGTACTTAGGAGCGGAAAAGACGGTGATGCAACGACCATCGTGTTCAACCTCGTAACCGCCCATCCGCACCTCGTGGGAGCGAATGATAGCCTCCAGGCCGTTGTTTTCGCAGAAGCGCTTGGTCACATCAGGGCCAAATTGGAGACCGACACCACGCTTGCTGGGGCCGCGACCAACCTCGGTCTGCGGGTCTGTCCAGAGCATCTCCATCATCAGGCCGGCTTGGCCGGGCTGCCGTTGGTTGTGGCGGTTGAGCTTGCGGATATCATCCAACTTGATCTTGTCATCGGAGAAGAGACCACCGTGCAGGACAAGGTACTTGTCGCCAATCAAGGTGGCCAGTGGCAGAGCCGAGAAAGACTCGGAGAACACCTTGAAGACCCGCTCGTTATATTTAGCCTTGCACTCGCCTTCGAAGCCGTATACCTTATTCATATCGTCCGTCTCGTGGTTTCCACGGTTAAGGAAAAGACCGTTAGGACGCAACCACTTGTATGCGTATAGCAGCAGTGCGATTTCGCAGGACCAGGAGCCACGGTCAACAAAGTCACCGTTGAAGAGGTAGGCGTGAGTATCGGAGGGGGCACCGTTTAGTCGGAAGATCTCGAGCAAATCGAAGTATTGGCCTATTCAATCAGCAACTGCTCCACTCACCGACCATGGACAGACAATACATACCGTGCGTATCACCGCAGACTGTCAGCTTCTTGCCCGACTCCACACCAATTTCCACCATAGTAGGCTCGTTGTATACCAGATCCTTGACAGCCTTGATAATCTGGAAGACATATTTGCGATGGATTTTCTTTCCATCCTTAAAGCGCTCAATCATATCATCGATAAATTCCTGCGACATTTCCTCGCCAAGGCGCACACCATCGTAATCCTCCTCGACATTGATAGCACCGATGTCCAAATCCGCAAAAGCAGAAGGCGGGTCTGCGATCTCAATGGCCCGCTCGAACTCTCTGCGGCGCACGAGCTTCTCACACTCGGCAGCCTTCAACTTGGCATTCTGGTTGTTCGGTTCGCGTCTAACCACGGCCTTGAAGTCCTTCAAGGCCTCCTTGTAGCTTAGAATGGCGGTATTGGCGAGGGCACGTCTCCAGTAGGCCTGTGATGGATATGGATTTAGCATATATCCCCACTACGCCTCCATCTGCAGGCACAAGTTGTCTCTCTTGCCGGCTGGGGATACCGACTAACCTTCACATAGTTAGGATCCAATTCGATTGCCTTGGTGGCGTCGGCGATAGCAAAGCCAAAGGCCTCGAGCTTAATTTGAGCCTGTGACACCAAACAAAAGAAAATCGTTAGCCATGCCGATCCTTACAAAAGTGCACGCGACTCTTTGGGAATGTGCCACTATGATCGTCGGAAACACACCTGGGCCCGGTTGCTGAAGAAAGATGGGTCTTTATCAAATTTGGCAATAGCCTGGTTATAAAAGTCGACTGCGACAGGCCAGTCATGCTGAGCAAAGGCCTTGTTGCCCTGCACCTTGAGCGCAGTGGCCACTTCTTGATCGGTAGCCATTTGGGCGGAGGGAAAACGCGAGGGGCACGAGACAGCGATTATCGGTGCGAAACAAGGGCGCGGAGGAAAAGGTGACAATTATACGAGCCGGAACACAAAGACACAGATGCCAGAAAAAAAATAAAACTCCTCTAAATCCTTTATAGATTAAGGGAAAAGAAGAGAAAAAAACGAGAGCGTGGTCAAAAGAAAAAAGAGAAAAGAGAGAGAGAGAGAAGAGAGCCTTGTCCCTGCTTCTCCCATGTTCTTTTTCCCCGATCGCAACGGGTCTTGGCATCTATCCAGACTTGACGGCTAACTCCCATTCATAGCTTTCTTTCTCTCTTCACATCCTCATATCTCCTCCACATGTCTTTCTACGCCCCTCCAAACCAGCAGCGCATGCTGCGCGCCTGCATGGTTTGCTCTGTCGTCCAAATTCACAATGTAAGAGCTACTCCGATCTCCGTTCCGCGGCCGACTCTAACAAACCCGATTGCTCCAGAAATTCATGCGTGAAGGCTGTCCAAATTGCGAGAGCACCCTCCAACTCCGTGGGAACAATGATGCTATTCAAGAATGCACATCACAGGTCTTCGAGGGCCTGATTGCTGTTCGGGATCCGGCTGCGAGCTGGGTCGCTCGTTGGCAGCGGTTGGATAACTACGTGCCGGGCACATATGCGACCAAGGTCACTGGGACAGTAAGTGCATACCTGATTACTGGAGATGTGAGACTTTTCTCAAGCACGGAATGGCTAATTGTGTTTTTCACATTGACAGCTTCCGGAATACATTATCAACAGTCTAGAGGACTCCGGCATTAAATATGTCCCGTACGTGTTCCTTGAACTCATTCCACCGTTTCTGATATATGTCCCTTATCATACTAACGATTGCTTATTCTAGGCGAGACGGAAGCACTGGTGAGGAAGATGCATGAAGCAGCTACTCTTGAGTCTTTAACGCTACACGAACCCACCCTTGCCCATACAATCTTGGTTCTGGATACCCCTACGGCGCACACACCATTGATTCAATCAAGACATGGAATTCGAGGGTGGTTTCAACAATTTTGCTGGTCGTTCGGAGTTTCGGATGGGAAGCATTACCTACTTTTCTTCATATCATTTATTGGACTACAAGGGCACACAGAGCAGATTTGGATTACTTCTCAGGAGTTTATAGTTCCAGTTCCTTCAGCTAGGGGTATAAAAGATAAGGGAATGGCTTGCAGAGTAAACGTCCCTACTCTGGCCCCAATGATTCGGTTCGAGTCATAAGTCGATTGTGGACAAGGAGAATGTTCAAAAATATATGGCATTTTTGTATTGACATAAGGTCGTAGTAGAACAAGGAGCAAAGTGAGCCCTCCAGAAGAAAAAAGAAAAGGGAAAAAACGAGAAAAGAGAAGAAACGCTAATAAGCCAATTTGAAAACGCCCGGGTAGTTCTAGAGGTCATTGCTGGAATTTTCTTAGAGGGCCTGGACGATCTGCTCGATCTTCTCGAGGAGAATATCGGCTGTAGGAGAGGATACATTAGCAAATGACTTTTAGGCACAAGAAAAGAAAAGTTTAACATACCGTGGTGCTTCTGGAAGACCAGCATAGGGCGCAGACGGATAGCAGAGGGGCCACAGCCACCGATGTTGACACCGAAGGACTTGGCCTTGGCGACGAACTGGTCACGCTTGGGGGTGTCCCAGGCGATGAAGGTACCCTGGTTCTTACCACGGAGGTTCTGGAAGTGCTGGGGGTACTTCTCGGCGAGACGGGCGAGACCACCATAGAGGTAGTCACCGGTGATGCGGGTGTTCTCGACGAGGCCGAGGCGCTCGACCTCCTCAATGATTCCGCGGTAGACCAGGGCACGAGCTGGGTCTCCCATCCAGGTGTTGAACTGGCGGTAGGGCTTGTTGGGGCGGAGAGCGGGGTTGCCGAAGTAGTAACCGGCAGTCTGGGCCTTCTTGGAGAAGGTGACCATGTCGGGGGGGGAGGACAGGTTCCAGTGGTCGTGAGCCCAGAACTTACCGGTGGCACCAACACCGGTCTGCACCTCGTCGACGATGAAGAGGACCTTGGTGCGCTTGGTGATGTCACGGAGACCCTGGAAGAAGGCAGGGGAGGCGTGGTTGTCACCACCCTCGGACTGGATGGGCTCAACCATCACGGCAGCAACGGGGTTGTGGAACTCCTTGATGAGACGCTCAACCTCAGCCAGGCAGCGCTGCTCCTCAGCGGCGTTCTCCTGGACGTGGTCCTCCAGCGGGTACTTCAGCTGGGGGAAAGTGGCCTGGGGCCAGTCAAAGGCGGGGATATCCAGCTTGTGGATGGCCTTGCTGCGGGTGGTGGACAGGGAGCCGAAGAGACGGCCGTGGAAGGCAGACTTGAAGGAGAGGATAGACAGCTGGGGCGAGCCGGGACTCTGGTTGTTCATGGTAGAGAGCAGCTCCTCCTCGGTGAACTCGACCTCGGGACCACCACGCTGCAGCTGGCGGTAGTACATGAAGGCCGCCTTGTAGGCAGTCTCGTTGGCGTCAGAGCCAGCCATGGCGGTGAAAACCTGGTCCAGACCCTTGGGGGCAGCGCGGAGGGCACCAGTCTTGAGAATGTGAGCCCAGTCCGAGGAGGGGAAGTTGCCCAGGGCCGGGCGGTTAATCAGGGCGCAGGCCATCTCGGGGGAGGCGGCAACCTTCTGGAGGTGAGGGTTGTTGTATCCAACAGGAATGGAAGCAATCTGAGCATAGCTACTGGGGTCAGCTTCTCTATTTCCAATTGACTTGTAGCTGGTGACTTACACATCAAGGAACTTGTTTCCATCGAGATCAGCGATGCTAGAGGCGGGGTTAGTTGGGTCTTGATGGTGGGTTGGGATCTGTCATACTAGTTTCCAACAGACTGGTTGTAGTCAGTCAGCATGTTCAAGCTGCGAACATCAAAGACCTCATCGAGCTCGGTAGCAGCGGCCTGGTTCTTAGGTCCGGGAATTGGCCCCGAAACGGAGGGTGCGGTAGGCTCATTGGGGAAGTAAGGCTTCTCCGCTGCACGCAGACCGGCAGTGGTAGAGAGAGCGCGAGCTGCCGGGAGGCGAGCTGCAGAGCGCAGCCGTGTGCTGGCACGGAAGACTGAGGACATTCTGATTTTGATGTGAAGGGGGGTGGAGGGGGCAAGATAAATGGTGCGGGGAGAGAATAGCGGGTCTAATGAGCTATTCGGTGTAGGAAAAGGGGACCCTGATCAATCTATATAGGTCAGGTGAAAGAGAGCAACAGATGTAGGACAGACGAAATAGAATGGAACACCAACAGGCGCAGGGTGGCTTTATACCAGGTGCAGTTGGAGTATGTTATCGGCCTTATCCTGGAGCTCAATAGCTTCTCCCCGCGTATATTACTTTTTTTGTCGGTGATATTGACCAATCGGGGGCTGTTCAGGACAGCGAAACGCCGAGGATCCGGATGGAGTATCTGGACGAATTGAGAAAGTCTACGCTGGTGGATTCTTGGTCAAATCTATATGGTAAGAGTTTCCATTCGGATGCCCACGGGGGCTTATTTTATTTATCTCAATTAGGGTCGAGTCACGCACAAAGAGCAAAAAAAGAGTCGAGGTTGTCATGCCCCTGTTGTAGATCCGGCTGCGATAAGCTAATCTAACCTTGGGAGTCTTGGCATAGTCCCTTATCTAGTGCACGTACTACGGAGTAGTGTACTGCTATATTAGGGTCAAAAGTGCGGAGGTCAAGAGGGGGGGCTTTCACCGCAATTTATAGTACATGTGAGGTGCATTCATTCTTATTTGATACTGTATTAGTTCAATTGGTCATACAGACCTTGTTCTGCAACTGGGATTTCCTGTAAAATCTTGATATATATCGCTGGACGATGTCAATAAATATACGATATAACAGTACATCTGCATGTTTTAGCAGGAAAACACCGAGAATAGAATATCAGATGAACCAATAAAAAGCTAAAATAAATATCTTGTTTACGTTAGTTTGAATTGAATTTGGCAAGTGACCTGACCTTGTGACGCACCACCAAATATCTTTATTACAATTAGTGCACTATTTCTGTTAAACAACCAATCAACTGGGCTTGTGGTTTAGTGGTATAATACTCCCTTAGCATGGGAGTGGTCCGGGGTTCGATTCCCCGCGAGTCCAGATCTTTTGCCTCCTCAATAATGAGGTTCAATATTTTTTGGCTTTCATTCTATCTTGATTCTTTTTTTAATTGCAATGCCAATTTTTAATTCAACATAAATAATTTCGTTATATTTAGACTTCGCTAATAGTATAAATGTCACGCGTGAATACCTGTATGACCCTTGAGGTTCCAACATGCCTTCACACGGAGACTATATATATCTTTCTGTATGCTTGACCCGTAATGGTAAGAAGATAACATCTTGAACCTACCCCACCCCAATACACAGGATATCCTAGCCAACTGAAACTTGCTGTTAAATAGTGTATTTCCTTAAACACGTACATCAAGTATGTTATTAATGAAGATGGGCCAAGAGTGCACCACAAGGTTGGAACTAGCTCAGGACCGTGCTTTCCGCGCACGGTCTAAATGGATATGTCAGATCCTGGGGTTGAGGCTGATGATTGCCTGGAAAATGCCCCACGAGATCGCGTATGTGTACATTGATTGTATTGGATAGATCGTATTCTGATATAATACAGGAGGGAAGTGACTCGATGATAAAATTATCGGGGCCAGTTATTGTCCATCTGTCAAGCAAGCGTTCATGGGAGTCATGATAGTCTCAAGGTGTATCGTTGTTTGTGTGAAGTATCCGTTCCAGCACAATAAAATCATATAGGCTAGAGTGACATAAAGGTTCATAAAAAAAAGGAGAAAAAAAAGATAAGAAAAATGAATGTACCAAAACAGTGCGGTTAACGCGACTGCCGATCATCGAAAGGAGGGTGTGTATCGCTTGGTCTTGACGCAGAGGAGCCAGAACTCGTAGGAGAGGCATAAAACATGCCCATCTTCATATCAACATCATCCACAGGGTTGAAAGCACGGCCATGGCTATCAAACGTAATATCATAACCGTGTCCCATCTTATCATGGCTCGTGAGTCGTGACTCAACCCAGCTCTCCATCTCGACGGTGCGCATAATCTCAACTCGATCGTTGCTGTAGCCGGGCGGGTGCGCCTCATCGGTAGCAAGACGGGATGCCCGAGAGCGGCCGGTTGAGTACCAGAGCCTGTGGGTGCGATTCCGCTGACTGTAGGAGGCGCCGATGTTGCGGCTTGAGCTGAGCAGGCGGGGTAGGAAGGCTGCGAGCAGGGGGCGGAGGGCAGGAGCTGAAGAGCAAATCTGTTGGTTATTAGCATTGAACATCTCTAGCAGTGAGGCTGTTGGTCCTCTTACCAAGCCTAGGCTAAGTTCCACCGCGGCAGTGATCAACCCCGGCCATCCAACCCAGGTCCCATCGTAGCCGGTCATTAAACTCTTCCACACGTAAACGGTTCGTACGCAGCCAGCTACGTTAACGACGACACCGAGACCGAAGATAGAGATAACGGCGAGTCGTTGACGAGTGGGGAGTTTCAGACTCCAGATCAATGGCATTGGTAAAGCTGTGACCAGAATATCGGTAAAGATGTTGATCACGCTGGCGGCAAAGACAATCGCGCCATCATCCATACAGTGGTATGGCTTGGTGTTAATATCCCAGTATGCGTGGATAGGTCTATAGGAAACATTAGCAATGGGTTGAGACACGACACAAGATAACCCACTCACGAGCACTGAAAGATGCTGATGACAAAAAACAGCAAGCTAGAACCCACAACGAAAATGATGGACAGAATAAACGCCCAGTTATACAGCACAAAGTGGCCCTTCCCGATAAGTCGTCGACAAAACCACAACAGAGAGACCTTGATGAAGCAGGACGATAATAAGAACAATAGTTGAAAGCAGAGGTTCAGTTTCCGCACAGTGATGAATCGATGCAATTCAATATCCCAGATATGGCGGTTCATGCCCCATTGTTCAGTGGCGATTGAGGTGACGATGGCCATTGCGATGGCGAAGATCAGACCGATGACAATAAACACATCATCGATACCAGCGCTGCATGTGACCCAGACCCTGGTGTATAGACGGAGGGAGACGATTAGGAAGGCCCAGGTGAGGCAGACGACGTTTACAATGAGAACGCCGTGCCCACGTGTGGGAGGGTCGATATAGTTTGGGGTTGGCCATGACTCCGCAATGGCTGGTGGAGGGAATCTCATTATTTTATCTGTGGAAGGGAGAAGAACAATAATATCTGCGGTGTCACGGTGAAAAGAAAATAGCCAAGCGTGTCTAGGCAATTGCCATCGCCATGACTTGAGTTAGCAATGGGAAAAGTCAAAGATCAAAAGAAATGATGAGAGTTAAGAGGGCCGAGTCATACGGGTATATTGCGTACAAAGTACATACTAGTACCTATGCAGACCAAAGGATAAAACACCCTAGGGACATGCAGATATAATGTACAGGGGTGGTCGAGACCTTTTCCCAACACAGAACCATAAGTAGTAGATCCAAGGAACATTTCGAATTTTCGGGAAAAAAAAACCTACCATGATTCGAGGGGAGAGTTTAATTCATACATTTGGTAAACCTAAGCACAAACGGCCATACAACATACGAAAGATGAGCCCTAGACCTCCACCAGATCACGAGCCATGGCTCCACGCTCGAAAATGGTAAAACGACCGATGGTTTTGGTGTGGATTTGGACGGTGATAGGTAGTTCCAGAGCCCCCCTAGTTCCATGTTCGGCCCCACTGTGCTTTTAGATCGGTGATCTGCCTCAGGCGAGGCTTGTGAGAGGTTAAGTATTATAGCGTGTGAGAGAAACTGACCCCTGGCTCGCTTCAAGTACGAGAGACTGCGAGTTAGTGGAAACTCAAAACAAATCGATCCCGTGAATACGGAGTACCTTACGGAGACCGATGCTGGTGGATAGGCTGATGAGCCGAGGCTTAATAGATTTTGAATTTCAGTCTAGTTGTAAATTGTGTGCAGTAGCCACAATGAACAAAGACTAATTCTATGTTGTAGGATAGATAAATGTATTACTTTGGAAATATTTAATTATATATCATTTTTTTCCCACGTACTCCGTACTCCGTACAAATCCATGGATAGTTTCTCCCACGAGGATGCGGGGTCACTTTTTGCCTTCCCGTGCTAATTTCTCCACTTTCCTCACTATTGATGCAAGATCATTTAACTCTGACTGTAATAATGATGATTAGAATAGCCTGGCACATGTAAAACAATGGCAGCCAAGAAGCGTAATCCAAAAAAAGATGGGCTCCGCAAATATTGTGTTTTCCCCGCTGAATTTCCGGTTGACAATTGTCCCCGAAATCAAGACTTGTCGAATTTAATTCTCATACACATTGGTGCTGCTAATACGGAGTAGTACATACCGACATTAGAGAATAACAAACACACCTCGACAAACCTTTGGGTGGGTTGTTGATGCCCGCATTCATTGAGGTTGCTGAGCGAGCACTATGCACTCTTACACCATTTATCGCAAATTTACAACTCTTCCCAGAATACCGGGTTCGTGTATGCCATAGATTGGAAATACTTGACAGATACTCCATAGAATGGTTATAACTGCCTGACATGGAGACTAAAATCACAAGGACGGAAGAATCCCTAAAACTGGACATGATCTCCAATACCCCTGGAGCACATGTCTATGTTGTACGTATGCTAGCAGACGCAAGTTCCAAGCTCCAAATTTTCATTCGTTAATATTTCAATTAATGTCGCCTTGGGTACCTTGAGACTTTAGTTTGGTGACATTTCAATCTGAAGACCTGGCATACGTGCTAGACTTGCTCTCTCACTTGATACCTATTTGATTCCTATTAAGTCTAGAAAGCACCCCTGGCAGCAACAAAGCACGTGCACAAAATGTGAGTTTGGACGCAATGGCAGGTAGTACCTGGTATAAATCCAAAGCAACGAGTCTAGGAACTGCTGTGGAACAGTGCACCACAGCCTTGGGCTCAGTCCAAGGTGTAGCACAACGCGCTATGGTCTTAATAGGCCATCTGAGATAAAGTAACATAGACTTAAAGCTGTCCAGGTATTTAATAGCGGCTGAGTATGCGTGCCGACCAGCCCGTCATTGGACACATATATGCCAATACAACCATGCATCCTCTTGGCCTGCCATGTACTCGGCGGGACCCTGAACCCTTGTAGATACTCTCTACTCTCACCATTCCAAGGTTGCAACAGCATATCTTTTTAACTCAGAAACTACGCACTAAGTGGGTCATATGATAGTCTTGGAAATTGCGGGGACTCTTGCTTGGGGATATGCTTTTATACCACGCTCCTCCCCAGTGGTGCAACGTCTTCACACCTTGGGTAATCTCCCAGACACCTTTTGTGTTTCTTTGCTGACTGTATAAGCCGAAACCCTTCGACCCAAAGTCATTGACGGTGCTCGCATCCGAAATTCCATTATCAAGGCCGTCTCTAGCTAAGCCTTGGTCCTCTGCCTAAGGGCGTTGTATCCACTGCCTGAGACAATAACCCTAAGTGTGCTCGGAATATAGGGTCAATAGTAAGTGGGAGCGGGGCGCTGGGGATTATGGATAGATTGTTATATTTGTAGCACCTGAATGCTCACACAAAGGGCCGATATGGCTGCTAATAAGTTGCTAGGCTTCTTGGTTGTCTGACAAATTTCTCCATCTTCATCAGCATAGGTAAAATTACGTAGGCGCATACATAATCCAACTCATTTTTCTCCTATTTTGATTGCCATCTGAATTTATCCTTAGAGCTCTTTCCGTTTGCTTGTCATCCATCGTGATTTCCTCTCCACCACCTTCTCAACCTCTGAGCCCTATTCAGAGCTTGATTTCATTCATCGACTTTCACAACAACATTTCACCATAGTCTTTCTGCTTCGCTTTTCCCCATCAAGGGAAAGCTGTCAAGTATTAAAATGCCCGATCCAATCGGAAATGACGCGGTTGGGGGTAATGTAATCACACAATGACGACCATCCTATCCAAAGCTTTGGTACTGACCTATCAACTAGAATGACCGAGAATGTCACTGGGGAGTAAGTAACGCAGCACAAATCTATGCTGGGAGGTAAATCTTGAATTTGGCTTCAGGTCAAGCTGATATACAATAGGATCAAAAATCCCCTCGCCGGAATCCCCCATGGTCAGCTCATGGCAGATGTGACGGCTTATGCTGCCGAATATGACCTTGAGGATATCTTGCCCCTCTTGCAGAAAGGTGCTCTGGTAGCTCAGTCACCAGCGGGGATTGAAGAAATCTCCGAACTCAATGATGATGACCGCCGTGTTCTTTACGAGGAGCACACTCGGCGTTGGAAACACCCGTTTGCGTTGTACTACACCATCATTCTAAACTCGATCTCGGCAGCTATTCAAGGCTGGGATCAGACTGGTCAGAATGATACTTTGTTCAAGCATTCGGGTCCAGTCTTGGCTAATGTTTCTCATAGGTTCGAACGGTGCTAACCTGACCTTTGATGTTCAATTTGGTATTCCAAATAACTCACCTCAATGTCCTGACCCAGAGACTTGCAAGCGTAACCAGTGGATCGTCGGTTTTATTAATGGGACTCCATACATCACCATCTGTCTATTGTGAGTAATATACTTGTTTTAAGCTCACTCAATCTTCTAACGTATATATTACCCTACAGTGTTGCTTGGCTCTCCGATCCCCTGAACCATATCCTCGGCCGCCGTGGCACAATCTTCCTGGCCGCAATCTTCAGTCTCCTAGCGCCCCTGGGCTCCAGCTTCACTCAACATTGGGGTGAGCTCGTTGCCTGTCGTGTTCTTCTCGGACTTGGCATGGGTCTCAAGGAAGTCACCGTTCCTGTTTACTCAGCTGGTAGGTGGTTTTAATCTATATATCCCAGATGGTCATAAGTACCACACTAACACTAAAAATCTGATAGAAAATGCACCCACAAACATTCGAGGCGGCCTAGTTATGTCATGGCAGCTTTGGACGGCCTTTGGTATCTTCCTCGGAACGTGCGCAAACCTCATTGTGGCAAACACTGGTGATATTGCCTGGAGACTACAGCTAGGCTCTGCATTTATTCCAGCTGTGCCATTGCTTATTGGTATTTGGTTTTGCCCCGAGTCTCCACGATGGCTGATGACCAAGAAAAACCACAAGGAAGCCTTTGCGTCTCTTCTCAGACTGCGGAATAGCCCTTTACAAGCTGCCAGAGATTTGTATTTGATTTACGCCCAGCTGGAGAAGGAAAAGCAGTTGCTTGCCCAGTCGGGATTCTCCAAGAGCGACAACATGTTCATTCGTTTTGTGGAATTGTTCACGGTGCCCCGTCTGCGTCGTGCCGTCCAAGCCTCTGGCATTGTGATGATCGCCCAGCAGATGTGTGGAAGTAAGTACAAAACTCGAGATAGGAGAAGAATTGAACTAATGATGTACTCGCTTTCTAGTCAATATCATCTCGTTCTACTCCTCAACTATCTTTCAACTCGCCGGTGCTTCCAACATTGAAGCACTTCTTGCATCATTCGGCTTCGGCCTTATCAATTTCGTGTTCGCCTGGCCCGCCGTGTGGACAATTGATACATTTGGCAGACGGGGTTTGCTTCTTTTCACCTTCCCACAGATGTGTTGGACACTTCTTGCAGCTGGGTTCTGTTTCTGGATTCCCACCAGCAGTAACGCGCACATTGGATTGATCGCATTCTTCATCTACCTCTTTGATGCTTTTTATTCTCCCGGAGAGGGACCCGTTCCATTCACCTACTCTGCCGAGGTGTTTCCGTTATCTCACCGTGAAGTTGGAATGGCCTGGGCGGTTGCAACCAATAACTTCTGGGCTGCTGTTATCTCGCTGACATTCCCATGGATGTTGCGAGCATTTACTCCGCAGGGTGCCTTTGGATTCTATGCAGGCTTGAATCTCATTGCATTTGCTATGATATTCTTTTTCATGCCAGAAACCATGCAGCGCTCGCTTGAAGAATTGGACTATGTGTTTGGCGTCCCGACCCGAACTCATGCCAAGTACCAACTTACCAAGGTCCTCCCGTGGTGGATTAAGAGGTATGTTCTCATGCGTAAGGATGCGGTCTGCCCCGAACTTTACCAGGTCACCCAAGATTATGCCGCAGCCCCCGGTACCGTTGGAGACTCGGAGAAGCATGTGCAGGCCGACGAAAATGAGCGTCACGCTGAACATGTTTAATCGGAGCTTAAGATGCAACCCATGATCCACAAGATCAGATTATTGCTGCTTTTTTCATTTTTCGTTTTTCGATTTCGTATGCGGGTGGGACCTTGTTTCTCGTGGATTTCAGATAGGGGGGTTCGCCCATTTAGGGCTGAACTATGACCGTCTTGGCCACTTTATCAATTGCTTTTAGTTTACTTCAATCAATTTTACTCAAATCTCTCTTTATTACACATCCACAATTCTACGTAACATTGACCTGACCGCAACTAAAAATGTCTAGCCCATCTCCTTTCCTCCGCCTCATTGCAAGCAAAACCTCATGTTCTCGCAAATTGTTCAACCTCCACATCCCTTGTTATGTGAAGCCAAACTCCTCAGCTCGTCGCACAGGTATTATAAGCGTGGGTACTGATAAAGTCGAGGTTTCCGTGGCTGCTGTTCCACGCGACGGGGCAGCTAATATTGCAGTGTCGCATATCTTCGCAGAGGTGGGAATTACCCTTGATGTGTTTTATTGCGTCCAGTCTTGTCTATGGAATAAAGACACAAAGTCACAAAATTTTATCTGACCCTTTTTTTAGATCTTCAAAGTTCCGAAATCGAGCGTCCAGGTTATTCGTGGCGCGAAATCACGAGAGAAAATGTTGTGTGTTGCTGACCTGGAGGTCGGAGACGACGGCGAAGAAGCATACTTGCAGCGTGCAACACAAATATTAAAGGCCGCCATCAGGACATGAAACTCCTAACATAAACTTTGAAACTATAGCCTGTTGATTTCCACTCGCTGGCTCATATTCTTGACACAACTTGATTATTGTCTGATCCCGTGACGCAAAATCCCGTCACGGTTTTTTTTTTGGCGGAGCTCCGGCCGAACATCAACCTCCGACCACCCCGAACATTTTTAAAAAAACCAGCAAGAATGACAGAGGATACACACGGCGGCATGGAAATTGACACGAATGTCCCTTCAACGGAAACTGTGAAGCGCAAGGCGCCAGAGCCAAAGCCAAAGACTCTCCACTTCACGTCGCGCAATCCACCCTGGACATACCTCAAGCTCAAGCTGTAAGCTATCCACCCGCTTTCTTTTTTCTTCGTTCGTCCTGAGACAGCGATTTTGCGGTGGAAACCAAGCTAATCTTGAAATCGTAGTGTCTCCCAGCCAGGAAGTGCACCACAACCCCTCGACCCCCTCTCCGCACGAACCTACCTCTCCTCCGCATTATCGCAATTCCTCGGCCTAACAGGAACAGCCATTCCGATCGACATCTTGAAAATTGAGAATGGATCTTCATCAACCACAAAGTACGATATAGTGTGGATTCGCGTTCCTCGCGAGGATGCCTCGGCCGTCGTGAGCGCAGTGAGCTCATGGATTGGCGGCGGAAATAATTCGACAGGCTCTGGGGATGTTGCATGGAGGGTTTGCGCCAAGGGAAATTTCCTAGGCGCCCTGGTTGCCGGCTCTGGGGCCGATTTATTCGTTCCCTAGGCTTGTGGGTTGTACTCCTGCTTCAAAGTGAGGACTACGAGAAACGATTTTGAATATAGCTAGTCTATATATTTGACTCTTTGTCGAATGATTGCCCCCGGGCCATGGCGAGACCCATGCGACTTTTGTCACAATCCGCGCGTGCTGTTGTGCATACTGCGTGGGACTAGTGGCGTGGCATGGGTGTGGTTGCAGGGCTGCTGCAGCAGTAACCCCTGCGATACATGCAACGACGATGTCAGCTCCAAATGAAACGACATTCACTTGGCCTGAGACCGTGAGCCTGGCAATAATCGAGGGCCTGGGACTGAGCCCGTATCACACGGGGCTGCTTGGGACGTAATGAGACGCATACACTTGGCCTCCATCAGCAGCTGAAGACATATAGTACTTTTTGGCAAGTTCGTGTGCAACAAGGGAAAAAAGAGAATCGATTTTGGAGTCAATATCAAACTATGTACGTAACTCCAAGACAAGCCAGATGTCCTTTTTTTGTGATTCGATTTGGAGTCAACATGACTCAGATGAAAACGCCATAACTCACACGCTGATTAACTATCACAAGCAATTTGATGCCGCTCATTTAAATGCACAATTAATTTCCATCTTCTGCTAAGAAGAATATCTTTTGTATTTCCCCGTAGTTGTCTGCGACAAATTTGGAAAGAAAATCAGACTGATGATCTAGTGGTTTTGGGGCGAATTTCCTCAACAATTGTAGATGTATCTGACGCCCCAGATGCAGATGCAGATGACGGGTTGACAACCACCTTGGTGCGAAGCGCGCCACGAATATCCTCGACGGTCCGTTCTTTCCAGTCAGGATATCCCAGCTGGCTAAGAGGGAATAGAACAAGGTTGTCAGCGCGTGTCATGAAGTCGTTAACATTCGGTCGGGGAGTGGCAGTTATAATGTCCATTTCCACGGCGATCTGTCGACAGTAGGTGTCCAGTGGAAGATCATTGACATCCTGACCGAAGGGATTCTCAATTTCACTGCCGATTGTAGCCAGGCCGAGGATGATATAGGCGGCCACTTCGATGTCTGTTAGAATTGTTCTTGTACTTGCGTAAGGGAGATAATTCAGTAGTTCTTACCAATTGTTCCTGGGATGGTGATCCATTCTAAGGCATTGTAGAGCTGGAATGGAAGTACCAGGATGTAGATCCATGAAATCTGGGCAATGGCAATGCTGTATGCGGTAGGCAAGGGGGTATCCAGGACACGTTCTGTGCCAGTCAAAACTTCATTGAAGGTGGCCATCATGGTGACTTTTATTGGGTTAGAGTTGGGACACCACAAGATAGGGGGCTGAAGACTTACTAGCTTGTCCCTGGTGCAGAGTTGAGACCATGGTACCGTTGGCTACACATGAATCGATATAGGCGGACAGATGGTTAAGAATCTCAAGGGGCAAATGTCCGAGAGGCTTCTTGGACCGCTTGACATACTTCCGAGGATTTGACTCGGCGAAGGACATGCCGAGATACTCTCCTGCGGATTTCCAAACAGATTTAGCTGGGGGGTTGACAACCATACGGTCGTGGGCATCACGAGCGAAAGTGTCGAGGTGTCCAGCCAGGCCAGCCAGATCTTCGTATGCGATATCAGGCTCGAAGCGGAGCTTGTGCTTAAGGGCGACGGCGAAGGCCAAAATGAGGTTCATCGCGGAGCTAGACAGAGCTTGTTAGAATCGATAATGCCAAGATACACCCCCCTGGAGTATTGCGTACAGTTTTCTCAAGAGGTCATCTTTTCCTTCTTCTCCTTCTCTCTCGCCGGTATTGATCCAAATTGTACGGGACAGGTTACGAGACGCTTGAATGAGCTGGGCCCAATATTTGCGTCCGTCTGCCCATCTGTAGTGTAAACTGGGTTAGTATATAGCTCGAATCGAAGCTAAAAAGGAGGCAATAGTATACCTCTCATATGCAGTTGAGCTGCGGAATGATAAAGCCAAACCCACCACGAAACCCAGCACGGTGAGTAGGATGTTGTTAATACCAACTTGTTCGAGTCAGTTTATAATACCAATAGATACCTTGGTCTATTAATTGGGGGCTACTCACGATCATGGACCTTTTTCGAAAAGACAGTAACAGCGGTTGACCAAATAGCGACAGTCACAAGTGGCATGATCATTTTCGGCATGACACTGCCGTGCATTCGCATCATGATGGGCCATTTGGAGTGCTTTTCCATGTTCCGGGGGCCATGCTAAACAAAGAATATGTTAGCTTGTCGATCTATTATTCTATACCATGTTCCCTCTATTCGCCTTCTATATAAATATCTCGCAATAGAATCATATTGGCTTACAAAGTATCGGTCCAATTCGCTTGAATCTCGTCGATCAAGGTGGAATTGCGAGTCTCGCGAGGTGGCTAGATGTTCCAAGAATGTCGGTCGAGGGGTGATGCGGCCAATGGAGGAGACCTGCTCCTTGTCATGGGTCGGTGCCGGCTGATGATGGGCATGCGAGCGCACATCTGCCGGTACTGGCGCAGCAGTGCAGTCTGCTGCTGCTGCTGGTGCCGGTGCATCAGCTGGAGGGGCACTGTGGCCGTCCGTCATGGCGAGACAATAGAAGTAGAAAGTAAAAGGCGAAAAAAAGAAGGTGAATGCAGCCGGAACTGACCCGGTTCTGATAATAGATACTAGAAGAAAAGAAATATACAAACGAAAGTAGAATATAGAACAAGAAATGTAACAGCCGAAGAAAAAAGGAAAAAAGTAGGGGAAGTAAAAGTGAAACACGGGCTGTGCGCTTGACAGGGGAATTTCAACGGGATCTAGACTGGAGTGGGGTCGACGGACACGTCCGCATGTTTAATTTTAGCCCTCCAGGGGAAAGTTTCTTCAATTGATCTTTCCATTGGTCTACGCACATTTCATGGGGAATTGCTCGTTAATAATCGTCCGGATCACGGATCACGATTGGGCTAGGGCTAGTGTTCCAGATTCTAGATCCAAGCCCCAAAGTGTAGGACGATTTAAAAACCAGGCGCAGTGCGGAGTGGGCCTGTTGTATAAAAAAAAAAGCGGAGGAAAAAAAGAGAAAAAAACTTGAAACAGAGGTGTTAATCGTCATCTATGGGCTGTACCACGTGCTTCAATGCAGGTACGAGAGTCTCTCCTTACCTAGGTAGACCATGAGGTGGGAAGAGGGTAGAATTAAACTCAAGTACGGAGTACTTGGTAATTTGAAGGCTTATACTCCATACTCCGTACTCCGTACGTAGATTCTAACTGTCCAAGCCCATAAGCCCCCAAGTTTATATTGTTTACGGAGTACATCCGTACTCCGTCCTTCGTATGTTGTATATTAATAATTTCCTAATTCGGCTCTGACGGCTTGGACACTAATCCCAAAATGGAAAAAGGATCCGGCAATCCATTGTACCCCTACCCCTGTCAGCGGTTTCCCCGAGGCCTTTCCCTTTTTCCACCTTGGAGTCATAGGAAGAAATCATATGAAAATGGATCGAAAGTCACTCGAGACATTACTCAATTTAGATGAGATTGAAGATGCCGCTACTAAAATAGTGAATAAAAAGGCATGGGCCTATTATTACTCGGCATCCGACGACAAGATCAGCAAGCACCGAAATACCGAGGCCTTCCGCTCCATCCAATTGAGACCAAGGGTCTTTGTCGACTGCACCCAATGCGATTTAAACACAAAATTGTTAGACAACCATGTCTCTATTCCAATTTATGTTTCCCCAGCAGCTATGGCCCGGCTAGGGCACCCCTCTGGTGAAGCGGGAATCGCAGAGGCATGTCGCAGCTTCGGTGCTTTGCAGATCATTTCAAATAGTGCGTCGATGACGCCCGAGCAGATCGTTGCGGGCGCCGCCCCAGGCCAAGTATTTGGCTGGCAACTATATGTGCAGCACGATCGCACTAAGAGCGAACGAATGTTGGCTCGAATCAACAAATTGAGTGCAATCAAATTTATTGCTCTCACACTGGATTCCCCCGTGACTGGGAAAAGAGAGGATGACGAACGCAGCGGAAACGTAATCGGTTCTGAGGCTCCATTCCAGAGTGACAACAATGACACTGGGCCAATCACCCAGACTGGAGACCCAGTATTCAAGGGAATGGATCCTTCTCTTACATGGACGGAGACCCTCGGGTGGTTGGCCAAGCACACCGATCTTCCGGTTGTTCTCAAGGGCATCCAAACCCACGAAGATGCGTATATCGCCACACAATATACGCCCCAAATCAAAGGAATCATCCTTTCAAACCACGGTGGTCGGTCTCTAGACACGGCTCCTCCTGCTGTTCACACCTTGCTCGAAATCCGGAAATACTGCCCCGAGGTCTTCGACAAGATTGAGGTATGGGTTGATGGCGGTATCAAGAGGGGAACCGATGTAGTCAAGGCTCTTTGTTTGGGTGCACGAGGCGTTGGAATAGGAAGAGCTGCGCTCTGGGGCTTGGGCGCCGGAGGGGTGGACGGCGTGAAGAGAACATTGCAAAGTATGATTGGCGACACTTGAGGTCTTCTGCGAAGTGAATTACTGACAGAGCTTAGTTTTGACCGACGAGACCAAAACATGCATGCGACTTCTGGGAGCGAAGAATATTGCTGAACTTGGAACACAAAACGTACGTCTGCATATGCGCCGAATTTTTTCAATTTGGAGTTTTGTATTACAAGTGAACTGACTAATATTTTCTTCCAGATAAACACTCGACTGGCAGAGACACAGATCTACGACGGGCCATCTGGCCTCGAAGCCTGTCGGACAAATCCCCGGCCGAAATTGTAGGATGACAACCGGTTGGGAAAGAAAGCACATTGGGTTGCTATTGAATGATTTGACATATCTTTGCGTAGAGTTCTTCTCAGCTACCCATGGACGCTTGGGTATAGCGGTATATCGGATAACGGCTATTTGGTTAGTTGAGCGGCTGTCACCTACAAAGGAGGTTGGGTTTGGGGGTTTACCTGGCAGAAAATCGTTGAATATTCCTAATCGTGCACATGATATCAGCTTGCCATAGGCAATTCCAGGTCAGCCCCTTCGAAATCTTCATGCCTGTAGAACGGAATGTAGTAAGGATTCCCTTTCACCCGCTGGTATCTCTCTTCTACCCGATGCGGATCAGGGTTCTAGGCTGGGCCAGTTCTAGGCATGTCCCATGTTCCATCGAACGCTCATGCATTGATGTATATGAATCTATATGAATCTTAGAAGGGTCTCCAAACTTGCATGCTCTCAGAAGAGACTCGTATGTATTGTGGCGTGGCCGACGTTTAGGAGCACCCACCCGCTGATCTTCCAGTTGGATTCGATCTTTCTATCTTCGTGGTACTCTGAATATCGCATGTTATATGTTGAAAAGTCGTTTTCTTATGCCTTTCACCGTTATTCTACGATTTGCGGTTATCCATTTCCAATCACCCTGCTAGCTGCAGCTAAAAAGGATATCCTAAAAAGATATCCCAAAAGACCTCCCGAACAATATCTAATAAAGCCTTTCATATAAAGTCTCTAATATTGCGGATGAAATAGGATTATTACGTTATTTCAAACCATCCAAGGTTATGGCCGTTTCAAGCTTGGTTGTCTGATGTTGATGGGTACCCCATAGCTTCTCAGTCTGGTTGGAAGACCCTCAAATCGTGACGCTTCCTCAGGATGTTACGCTTCCCAACTTCCATATTTCGTGTGAATTTTTTTTGAAACTTATCAATCCCGCCTCGATCATATTTTGTTGGGCAAGTGTCTCATCGTGCCCCAAAAGGATCCAACCGAGTCTCCCTCCCATCGCTATCTCGCTTCCGATCCCAGCTTGACTGACAATTGTCTCATCATGTCTGAGCGAATTCTGACCGACCTTCCGCTTGAGATCTTCTGGCTCATTGTGAAGGGCCCTGAGTTCAACAAAGACATCAAAGCTCTAACGCAAGTCAACCGAGGTCTTTACGCTCTCCTCAACCCATACCTGTACCGAATCAATGTCGAAAACTATGATAATCCTGCCATTGCTTGGGGCGCCTACCACGGCCAAGAAGAAACCGTTCGAAAGGCCCTGAAGCAGGGTGCCCGGACATGGTCTACCTATGGCGAAGGTAGCTTACCAGAGCCGATTACTATTGCAGCACTACGTGGTCACGCAAATATTGTCAAGCTTCTCCTCGACCATGGAGTCGACCCGATGTCCTCCTGGCCAAATGACGATGACGGTAAAGAGACAGGGTTACGGATGGCAAGGTTCCGGATGGATTTTGATAATTACACTGAGTTGTATCCAATCCGAGACTGGCCTCCCTGGACAGCGGCGCTTGCCAAGGACAATGCAGAAGTGCTACAAGTCTTGATTGAGAAGAGTGGATTCGTGCCGCGCCCCTGGGATTTTTTTGAAACCGTCAGCGAAGGCTATTATGAGACCCTGAAAGTTCTTGTGAAAGCTTGTCCTAAATGGGAAGATCTTGCTCGATCCAACTACAGCACTATATTGGGAAAGGCAATCAGTGTATCACCGCATAACCTCGATATCACTCGCTTCCTTGTCGATTCAGGATCCCCAATCAACCACATAGACTACAATCAACAAACCCCGTTGGCCGCAGCCGCAGAAATCGGGAACATCGAGACAGTTCGATTTTTGCTGGACCGAGGAGCCGATCCCGATCCCGAAACCCCACTGTGGCCGCTGAGGCTTGCCGCAGAACAAGGAAATACCAAGATTGCAGAACTACTGTTGGAAAAGATTGACGTCCAAAGCAAAATTACTGGTGGCAGAGATGACCAGTTTTGGCTACTTTACTCGGCGGCGGCCTGTGGGTTTGAGAAGATTGTGCGAGCTTGCTTGGATGCTGGGTGCAATCCAAATAACAGGCTGTACATTGATTATTGTCCTTTCAGCGTGGATGCTACAAACCAAGTATCTGACGGCGGGTATAATTTAACGCCGCTAGAATGGGCCCGTGGGAGAGGCCACTCTGAAGTTATGCGTCTGCTCGAGAATGTTGGAAGCTCCAACAGGGCAAAAATTGCAGATTCGACCGCCTCATGAGAGCCAGGGTCTCATGCTTTTTGTCTTACAGGAAGTGTCACAGAGCTGCCTACTGGGTTGTATGTTATGTATGTGTATAAGCATCACTGAATTGTGGATATTTTAAATGTCAAATGTGTTATTTAAAACAAAATGGCACTGTCCAAACTGGAGAATCCTGCGGCTACGCCACCTTCATTCACCTCTTTCCCTTTAGTCCTCAACAGATAGCCGCCTTGTTCATTGTGTAAAATCTTTCCAGTATTCTCCCAAAGAATCGTACCATAGACACCAAGCTCAGAGATAACATCTCCTCGAATGACTTCGCCGTCATTCCGTAAGGCAACATTCTGGGCATTGGCTGCAGGGTTGATGAGTTCCATAAGCACCCAGCCTCTCCAATCAGATTCTGGAATGGATTGCAAAAAGCCTGGAATGTCGGATTTGTAGACATTATTGCCACCTCCCTCACGCTGTGGCTTGAGCACATGGTTCAGGGCAGTCTCTGGATTGAGGGCTAGATCGCGACCTTGACTGTTGATCGACAGGTCATATTGCGGGGCGAAGGTATCCCGAACTCTTTCAACAAGCGTAGAGTCAACGCCCTTCAAGAAGCTTGCGAGATGATCTGGTCCTGTCGGCTCTGCTAAGACCTGCTGGACCTTCTTGCAGCCAGACAGCTGATTGAGCACCGTGGGACACTTGATTGCCGCTGAACGTTCCAGATGGGTTCGGGCTAGCCAGTCACGGCTAGATTTGTACTCGTCTGGTGCATAATAAGCTCGAAGATAAACAGTTGTTACCTCGAAGGTTGAGTCGGGAGCGTGAGGGGGCTGGTACAACAACGGCCGCGCGGAGTTTGAACTGGGGATGGATGTCTGATCCAAAACATCGACGCTGGCCACACGGAAGACTGGAATGTTGTGAGCTTTCTTGAGCTGTGTTGAGATTGCATGCTGATCAAAAACGTTCCGTTCTGTCTCCTGGACTACAAAGAGGACACAAAGAGGGAGGGCCGGGGTGGACTTGGACACTCCGTAGGCTTCATGGGCTGCTGCCAAACCTGCTGAGAGGGTTTCCACTGCGGTATTCTCGGGTGGAACCCCGGATTGTAGCAGAGGATGGGGCGGATAATTGATTGATGAACCCGGCGGCGAGGCCAGAAGCTCGGTGTGCATCTGTCGCACAAGAGCTGAAAGCCCTCCAAACGATGACGAGATCGTGTTAAATTCAACCTGCTTCAGAGCTGGGGCACCTGTAGGCAGAACATGGGCCATGTAGTCGGATCGGAAGAGGCCCAGTGACAGGTTTTGAACATATCCCTCCTTTTGCACGTCCAGATGAACCTTCCACAAGTTCGAGACAAAGTCATCAACCTCAATGAGCCTGCAAACGGCTAATCATTAGCAATGAACCGTGCAAGAGCAGTTATATTCCTACCCTTCCACGACCTTCCCTAGCCATTCTTCATTGCATGTAATCATAGCATAAAGTTTGTTGTAGATCTCTTGGAGAGCAGTCGCTTCCTCGAAGCAAACTCTGGGAAACGGACTGGGGAACAACGTCACTGGCGCATTTGTAGCTAACACCCCATTTGAATCTGCCCCAGTTGGGAGAATTGCTGGGGATGGTCGAACAGCAAGACCATTTTGAATAGCCCAGTCTTTCACAGATGTGACAAGAAACTTTTGTTGAGCTGGGGATAGGTCTGGCGGATAGTTTGAATAAATTGATTCTGCCATACTGCTAGTGAAGAGGAATTGATTTACTGGGGCACTCAATGACTTCTCAAATTGTGTAGACTTTTCAAAGATTCCAATCTCACCGAGGCTCTGGCCTTCTAAGAAATTCTGGGGATTTGTAATTGGCGGGGCATTTGTTGACACCTGAGGCAGAAGTAGATGACGCGAACGCGAGACCGCCCGTGTGTACCGCCTTCCATTTTGAGAATAATTGGCCCAGTTCTAGCCCAAAAATAGCTCACCGCCTAACAAAATACTGGCATTAAAAAAGAGCTTCACGTAGAACACGAATTGGGAAGGAGGGGGGTTGTGGACGTGTTTTCTTTTGTTTGATGTCTCATCTCTTTTCTTCTCTCTCCTCTCCCCCCCTCTCTCTTTCTTTTCACCCAAATTTACTCTCAAACATTGTGCCTCGGTTCACTTCTCTTTGACGTAAGCTTAGCTCAATCCTTCATTGTTATTTCGGATTGAACTCAGTTTTACATAGTTGAGTGAGACTAGATTGACTTCGCCTTTGATTTGCATTGGGGGCCCTGACATGGTAAGTCAAACCTATGTTCACCCCAAACTTGTCTCTTCCCCAGTTGCGTCCTTGAGACAAATGTGCGCCTGGCACGTCTGAAACACCCGCTAATCTAATACAGGCCCCCACAGCAAATATGCCTTCAAGCAAAGACCCGTGGGATTGGAAAGTTGACGAGATTGTCAAATTCCTCTGCCATGACGAGCCCGGTGACTGGTCATACAATTTGGCTTGCCCGGATCTCGTGGTTCTGGAAATCTCTCTCCGAGAAAATTCCGTCTCAGGCTTGATGTTCCTCGCGATCACAAACGACGATGTGAAAGACCTTGGCATAAAGGTTATTGCCCAACGCCATTATATCCTAAAAGCCAGTAAATGGTTACAGCGACGATCGCCGAAATACCAATTGGACCAGCAACAGCAGCAACAGCCTCCTCTCAATCCCCCCAAAGCACTTCTCAACGAAGAGCGACTTTCACCAAAACACATCGATGATCCCACCGACGCCAGCCCTCTTGTGAATGCTCCCGTTAACCCCAGCACCTCTCTTGATGGTTCCTCCAACCCCACCCCTCTTCTCGATACGTTTTCACAGGCTCAAATAGAGGAAAAGAAACCTCGCCGGATGGAAACCACTATCATCGAGCGACAACCAACGTCTTCTCTCCTTGAGACACATTCATCTCATTCACTACCTGCTCCGAATTCCTCCTTTGGGAACGATGACTTCTTTGATCATCTTGTGAAGAGTTATCCCCCAAACGATGCTGATGTTCTCTCACTTCTTGGAGATTCCACCTCCGATAGTGAATATGATACAGAGACTCGGGAGGAAATGGAAGAGGATGAGGGACAATCCTACCCGGGGACCCCCCCGGATGCTTCAGAGAACCTGGGAGATGCTAAATTCAATGATATCGTTGATGAATATATCAATTTACTGAGAACCCAATTCCTTGAAATTCGGTTGCCAAAAGAGCAACCGAAAGCGTTTCAAATTTGGATCAGAGGTCAAAAGTTCCCGAGCATGAAAAGCCAAATTTCGACACGGGTCGCCCACCTGGAGAAACGGTGTCAAGCCCTCCGCAAAGCACTTGCCGAGGCACAACACTCATCCCGCTCATCTTTACTCCAAGCATGTGCATGCCTCGACCCGACTGTCGTTGATATTTGCTTGGATCAATGGAAGCTTTCCGTTCTCGAGCAAACTACCCCGCCGGCAAAAGTTGCTCGTCCTCCACGAGCCCCACGGCCAGAAAGGCCCAAGGTGAATTCAGACGGTGAAGAGACTTTGAGCTCGGATTCGGATTCCGTGCATGACACCGGAGAAGAGGAGGACGATGAATCATCAGACGACTCGGAAGACAGTCTTGCTCTTGCCCTTATGTCTGATATTGAAGAGGGTGAGATTGCACAGCACAAAGAGGAGCCACGTCCTCGCGCAGCTTATCAACATGGACCGTTCCATGACTCCTCTTCAGATGAGGACCTCGGTCATCTTTTCTTCAAAGAAGAGAACTACGAGCCCCCAGCCGCCAAGAGGCGCCGCCTGAAGGAAAATAGCGCCCCCCAAGATACTCCAACTTCGCCCCTGATGCCGATGACAATGCTTCCCTTGGACCGGGACGTGGCGTTGCCTTCGAAGGAGGGTGAAGTAGAGGGTCAAATGGAAGAAAATACTCATCCTGTCAACCCGATGCGCCTCAACACACATGAGTTCGTGGACTTGACGAGTGACAACGGCAGTGGAACTGATGAGGCTCTATGTGTTTTTGACGACGTTTATTCTATGATGTGGAGAACTATCGAGGAGAGTGGAAACCGACTTCATCTGGTAGCGAAGGCCCTCACGGGTTTGCCGAAGAATCGGATCGATGGACTTTCCACTTTTCTCGGTTCTTATATGTCCTGCCTTTATCTAGATTATGCGCGAGATGCACTGAAACACATGTCCGACGATTCATCGGTGATTGAGGGAATGCATCCCGAGGAGAGCCATTCTGCAATGCTAATGACTGCCTTGTTCGTGTCGTGGATTAATGTCACCCAAGTCCCTTATGGCGCCTTTACAGCAAAAGAAGTCAAGGCTGCACTTGCGGCGGTCAGAGAGGACCTTGAAGAAGACCACTTTACCCCATTCTTCAACTGTCTCAATGACCTTCTCAAGGGATACAAGAGATGGGTGACTTTGTCATCTCGTGTCCAATCAAACGAACCGAACCCAGGAAAGCGCAAATTGACTGACGCCAAAATTATCCTGACTGGGGCCCAGAAGGAAGGCCAAGAACGGCATCACAAACAAGCCAAAGCTAAAAGAGCATTGCTTGCGTCTCGGTTTGCTCAAGGGCAAGCCCACGAGGAAAATAAAAGTATTCCAAGGCCGGTTTCTTTCCAAATTCCCATGATATGCCTGGACCCCTACATCGCGCAATATGTCAAATCCTACCAGCTCTCTGGAATTCAGTTTATGTTCCGAGAAATCATCGAGAATAAGAGAGAAGAAGGGTGTTTGCTAGCCCACACTATGGGGTTGGGCAAGACTATGCAAGTGTGAGTTATGATTATTGTGATATTGACATAATCATTAGGACCCAGCTAACTGCTTTTTGCCTAGGATATCACTTCTTGTGACTATCTCTAATGCTGGCGTATCACAAGATCTATCCATTCGAGATCAAATTCCTGAACAGTTGCGAAAGTCAAAAACTCTGCTCCTCTGCCCAGCATCTCTGATTCAAAACTGGTGCGACGAGTTTGAAATGTGGACCCCCCCGAACCACAATCTTGGGAAGGTTCGGTCAATTACGGTAAAAACCCCGACCCTTGACCGAACCAAAGAAATTTGTGAGTGGAACGATGAGGGTGGTATACTGATCCTCAGCTACCACATCTTCCGCGATCTTGTCAAAGACAAAGCAGAAAAGAACAAGGACGGAGCACAGCGATCGGTCAACGAAAATGTCAAGAATTTGGTGTTGAACAGCCCAACTCTTGTTGTGGTCGACGAAGCTCAGAATATACGCAACCATGAAAGCCAGATTGCCGAGGCAGCCTCCCGCTTGCGCACCCGGAAACGGATTGCCCTCACTGGCACTCCGATATCCAATGGTTTGGAAGATTACTATTGGATGGTTGATTGGGTTGCTCCCCAATACCTAGGAGACTTTGCCGATTTCAATGATCAATTCATCAAACCAATCGAAAATGGCTCGCAGATTGAAAGCACCAAGTTTGACCGAAGAGAGGCGCTCCAACGCCAGGAGCTGTTCCTTCGCATCATTGCCCCCAAGGTACAGCGAGCGGACACGTCCGTACTGGCAAGTGACTTGCCACCAAAGTACGAGTTCTCTGTTTACTTCGAGCCCACAAACCTCCAAAAAGCCGTCTACAACATCTTGATTCAAGGTGTAGCACTAAAAACCGAAGCCGGTGTCCGCCAGGAGCTTATGTCTTGGCTGCCTCTTCTCAAGCTTTGCTGCAATCACCCGGCCCTTTTCAAGGCAGAACTGGAATCCCGAAGGACCAAACATGCATCCAGCAAACAAAAAAGTCCTAGCAGTGATCTTCCCGGTGCTAACATCGGCTTCAATATGCCCGTCGAACAGCAAATCATTCCAAGGTCAATGTTATCTGAACTTGATGATGTGTTCAAGGAAGTTCCTAACTTGCTGGATCCCAGCCTATCTAGCCGAGTGGTGATTCTCAATGAGATTCTCAATCAGGCGATCACAGTCGGAGACAAGATCCTGGTCTTTTCAACCAGTATTCCAACACTGAGGTATCTGGCGGAAGTGATGGACGCAACACAGAGAAAGTATTCACTCCTTCATGGCAATGTGCCCGCGGCTCAGCGTCCCGAGGTAGTTCGGAGATTCAACAACGATCCATCGACCTCCGTCTTTCTCATTTCAACCAAAGCTGGTGGCCTTGGCTTGAACATTCAGTCCGCAAACCGAGTTGTCATTTTCGATTTTCAGTTCAACCCTACATGGGAACAGCAGGCAATCGGACGCGCCTATCGAATTGGACAAGAGAAGAAAGTCTTTGTTTACCGAATGGTCGCTGCTGGAACGGTCGAAGAGAAGATCTATAGTAAGACGATCTTTAAGAGTCAGCTTGCTGGCCGTGTTCTCGATAATGAGCGTGTTGCTCGTATGGGCTCTAAGGCGCTACAACAGTGTCTGGCTCCCTGGAAAGAGAGCGACCACAAAGGTGGGATTCATGAAACTGCATTCGCAACGGATCCCCAGATGATGGGAAGGCTGAGGGCTGTATGTGGTAAATCAATCGTGAACGCCAAACTCTGCATTGAGGAAATTGACCCAGAAGACCGGTTGACTGATCAAGAGAAACAATCCGTTGAGGATCAATTGAGACTGAGACGTCTACATCTTGAATCCCTGGGATTGTAAGTTTTAATCGGGCGCCCTATTTTTGTTTCTTTTTTGTTTCTTTTCCATTTCTTGTTTTGAGTGATACCCCATATGTATGCAATGAAATGTACGATTGTTTTGTAATATTTTTCCTAGTAAACACAAACGTAGATTGGACCAGCCCGATATTCAGTATACATATCAAAAGTCTATCAAATTTGAAGGCTACCAGAAAAGGGTGTGAGATCAGAAAAATGCTGACTATCTCTTGGGTCATCTATTCTTAGAGAGAGGAAGCCGAGGTTGAAAATGCGCAGATCTCAAAGGCACAGAAGCCCAGTCAGTGGAAACAGGAGTGGTTATATGTGTGCCTATATGCGTAACCTTCTTGGTCTTTTAATTAATCGAGGCTATTGGGAGGAGCGAAGCGAGGGGTCATTCCTTCCACCAAGCCAGCCAGGAAAGCCAGCCGTCTCCCGTTTAGTTGGATACGGAACATCTAAAGTGCCACTGGATGAGACAGCTTCGAGATACAACTGGCCTGCCGTATAAACTTTTGCATATGAAGCAGTATCGGTTTGAACGGGATTTGGAAAGCACACTTCCCGGGTGTCTTTCGGCGGGTTTGTTACGCAAAGGTTCTTTGGCGAATACTGGTCATACGACATACGTATATGAGGATCAAGCTAATGGTTGAAAATGATCGTGTGTTCTTGTTAACAAACAACAGAATGGAGTTAGCAGCGACTTTGAGGGAATGATCAGTGCCTATGGAGAATTTGTGGGATTCAATGAGAGCCAATAAGCCAAGCTCGGAGGCATTAACGGCCTCCAGGTCTGGCAAGCCTACATACATAGTACAGTACTATGATACTAGATTTAAAGTACCCAAGTATGTCCATGGGTGTATATATGCATGTAGCATGTGATGGGAGGATCAAGTACCATGTGCCTGGACGCCTGGGTACCTCTCCGATTAGGTGCCTTCCCTTTTGGGTCAAAAATCGTCACCCACCCCAGTTCCCCCATCGCCTTAAGCCACAAGGAAGGTATAAATACCTGCTCCCTCCCAATTTTTCTATCTTCTTCTCTCTTTCTTCTTCAACCCTCCGGGCCCACATTGCACTCCGTGGCTCCCTGGACACCCAACATTTTTTTGAACTTCCTCAGCTCCAGGTCCATACTTCAACATATGGATGCTGTTGTCCGGT